GGCTAATCTGTGTGGTTGGATTGGATGGCTGTTCCTGCCTTTGATCCCAAAAGACCAGTTCTCCATCCAGTCAGTATATATTGCTTCCCTTTAGTCCCTTCCGCAGCGAAGTGTCTTTTCTTTAGAGCCTGGGAAGGATGGAAGTGGTCGTGCTGGAAGACAATCAACCTCACCCAGGCAAGAGAGCAGATGAATCAATCCATTGGCAGAGAATGAGTGTTTATTCAAGTTTCTTAATTCTGTGTTGTGAAGAGGAGGATTTGGGCAATGTAAAAAAGGCAAGAAGGATCTCCCGCTGAGGGATTTTCACCTTTGGATAGTGACCATTTGGAGGACTGTCTCTTGCACAGACAAGATTCTGTACAATGGCTTTGGGCTTCTGCCTGCTAGAGGCAAGTAGGTGTCTTCTGGGGTGGATTTAACAAAGTCCACGAAAATAAACACAGAGAAGCTTTGATGCATTCCTACCAATGGAGAAAATTACACAAGAATCAGCTAATAAAAGCAAGAGATAAGCAGAATGGCTTGTGCTGGAGAAATGTTTGGCACCTCTCCCTTCTTGGAAGAAAAAAAGATTTTTCAAAAAAGTTTTCAAATAAAAAATAAGCCAAAACTGTAGTTTATTTGATATTTTCATTACTTAAGGCATGACTGACTTGAAATCTCTGGGTGTGAGCAGTTTCGCTGGCTTGGTTGGACACCCATGCAGTTAAGTATCTGCACATGCTTTGTGTTTGTTAGTCACTTGTATTATATATATAATATTATTATATATTCTGATCTGTTAAAATGTAGAATACCTTGCTAGGATGATTGTTGTAAAGGACTGTTTAGTGTTTGGAGCAGTGCAGGCTGCGAGTTTCCATGGTGTAATCCAATTAAGCAATCATTTCCTGGGAAGCTTCCAGAGTTGCTGACTCAGTGGTCTGGCTGACTACCAGGAAAAACTAATCTATCTTTCTAACAAACTAGGCACACCAGCTGAAGAATGAGGTGCTTTGTGGAAGAGATTCTTGCTTTTATAGTGAAAATAGGATAATTTCCTTTTTTTTTCCAAGGCTTCAAATTGTGACAGGCAATTGCTAATCTTCATCAACAGAAAGATTCCTTTTCCCTTATGGCCAAGAATAAAATACTGTTGGTAGGAAAGAATGGCCCTTGATATTTTGGCTCTGTGGGAGCCCTCTCCAAAGAAGACTGCTCACCTCCCTGTTGTGTTCTTATCTGCCTTACACTGGAAGTGCTGGAAATTAAAAGTTGAGTGATATTGACAGGTAGGAATTTTGTGTAGGAGGAGAAGGTCATCAACATGGAGGAAGTTAATCCTCCTCTTAATCAGTCTACCATTGGTGGGGTGGCTGCGCTGGCTGCTGCTGCCATGGTGGTTGTCACCCAGCTTACCTTCCCTTATTACTTATTGGAATGAGGAAAGCAGATAGTAACATTGCCCCAGGACAGAGGAGGGGAAGATTGGAAGCCCATCACGTGAGGCCTGGGCATGCAGGAAGGGAGAGCAGATAGAGTGCCATCTTTTCCCATGGTAGAAAGACATCAAATTTACTACTTGATCTGAAGACAGTGTAAATTGAGAATTGCTAGTGTGAGGCACAGTATGCTATCTTGCTAATCTGCAGTCCAGAGATTGCAAAATGACAGCAGAAAAGCTGAAATACACTTTTTTTTCTGTAAATAGGACTGCAAATAGAAAAAGCTGATAGTGATGTTCTACAAATATTTAGTCCTCCCCGTTTTTTTCACTTATTTGGAGGTAAAGGTGGTGAATTATTGAGCTTATTATGCATTCTCTGTATATTATTTTTAACAAAAATGTCAGCAGCATTTTGAATATTAAAATCATACTAATAAAATTAAGGTAGGACCAGTCTAGATTGGCTTTTTACATTAGGCCTTCCAATAGCCTATCTTTGTTCTGTATCCACTACAGCTTGAACTGTAGAAAACACGTAAATTACTAGCAAAAATGTATTTAATCACCTAATCCCTTACATTTCACAGCAGCCATATGAAGTATGACTTGAAGAAAATCTCAAAAATTACAAGCTGTGCTGTGACTGGCAGACATTTACAAGAAACACAAGTTTAATAACCAAAAGTACAAAAGCTCTATAAAGATAACTTGAGATTTGACCAAGGCTGATGCCCTGATGCATGACGGCTGCAGAGCTCCCTTTCAGTAGGGATTCGTCCTCAATCAGAGTCAATATATAGTGCACAGAATTCACTTTTTGTCCTACTGACCTTTTCTCAGAACAATCTGAAAGCATATAGTAGCCCATCAAAACTGAAAACCTTTCCATCGATCTGAAAAAGTAAACAAATATAGTAGATAGTTTGTCCCAACTCCATACTCCTAAATGAGATTTGATCAACCCTCTCGGCAGCCCATCTCAGTGTTCAGAGCAACTGCTGTAGGGAGGCCTCTTGCTCTGTCTGTATCATAAAAGGGCCTAAGAAGAGACTCGATACATGTGAGCAACATTACTGAAGCTCACAAACCTGCAAAACATTCAGTAAGGAAAACTGCCAAACTTCTTGTTAAAATTCTTTGAGCATGAGGTAAGCAGATATAAGTTATTTGGACTTCTGTAAAGCTTTTAGTACTATTTAGTTGCCCAAGTAAGTATTGATTTGGTAATAATTTGGAAAACAAGGGCAAAGAATGGCAAAACAAAGTAGATTCACTTTAGGTGATGTCAGGCAGGGCTCTAAGAGGCACCATGATTCATTCATGCTTTAGACAAGAGTAAGCTTATCAAGAGAGAGCTCTAGCTGCAGTGACATAATGAAAATAAACTGAGTGTATCTGTTTCCGCTTAGAGATGCTTACTTTGTCCCATCTGTTCTTTTCGATTAAAGTACATTTTGAAAGAGCAGTGTCACTACTGTGGCACTATGTGAAAAGTCCCCAAATGTCCGTTTTCAAGATGAAAATAGCAATGTATTGCAACTAATACCTTAGATATGACAGATTAGAGTTAACCCTTTAAAGAATTGCTGTCTTCAAAAAAAAATCTATATCAAAATGCAATATGTCATGTAGAACTGTTTTTGTCCTCTGCCACAGCAGTAGATTTAGAGCTAAATACCTGACTGTAGTACAGGGCTGACAGATGAATAACTGGTGTAAAGTGTTGCATTAATTTTCAAGTAGCATCAATCTGTACCAAAGATGTCCCTATTCTCCCTGCGAGTGGAAACTAAAAGGACCAAGCCAGTTTTTCTGCCTCTTTTTCCAAGCTTTTTCTCTTCTGCAAGTATTGGGTTATGCTGGTTCTGTCTGACCCTGTTTACAGGGAGTTTGCCCAAGTTGAGTTTGTGCTGTGTATGTTGGCCCTTTCTTCCGTTCTCACTGGGCTTCCACCTGCCTGTTAATGTTGGCTTCAAGAGACTTAATACATCTGCCTTGGAATTATTAAGCAAGTAATGTTACCAATTGAAAGATACCAAATAAGTATAGTCCTAAATTGAAATTTGTTTTTTTGTTCATTCGCTTGTTTTTCCAAATGTGTAGCTGCTTTACAGAGCATAAAAACAGAAAGTAAACACTTAATATCAAAGTATTTACCTGTACCTTTTCCAGTATCATTTGTGATAAAGAAAAGACAGAAGCTTTCTTTCTTTTTTTTTCTCACTTTTTTCCATCTAATTCGTTTATGGTGATCATCCATAACTAGATATTCACATGTACATTGCACATTTCTCCTTGCTTTGGCAGGAGTGCATTTATACAATAAATAAACATGTGATGTGATTGTTGTCAATTAGCTCTAATGTTCAGCAAACCTAGCATGTATGCTTCTTTGGAAAGACAGATAGTTTTGCAGTATAATCAAAAGAAAATTTTGCTGTTCACAGTAAGAAAAATAAATGGTTTTCAGAAGAAAGATTTATATTTTTGGTTGGCAGATACATTGAGAAGGTAAAGCCTAGAATTACTTAATTTCTTCTGCCATCAAAGTGACTTTCAAATGTTTATAGAAGCATGCAGCAATGCATTTTAAATTTTTGGTAACCAGGAAATAATAATAATCATCTCCGATGGAGATTTTACTGCATCATTAGTTTGAAACAAAGCAGCTTATCAATTTCAGCCAGTCTAAAGCTTCAACTTTGCTAGAGAATGAATAAATCATTTTCTAGCCCTTACTTACCAGGTCTTATCCAAATGATAGACAACATGCTGAGTTTTAAATGATCAAGCTGCATCTTGTCACTTATTTTCTCCTTTACATTTTAACTATGGATGTAGTCAGTTGTCTCTCAAGGACAGGTCTTAACATGAGACATTTTTCTCAATCAGTCATTTTCTGCTGTAATTATCCTATTCACACTGGAATTAATTTAGCCAACAAATAATGTAACTCATTTATTTTAGGAATTCTTTTGTTTCCATACCTTAGAGTGTGTTTCTCACTCCTTACGTGCTTATACATACATATTAAAATATCTATTCTGGTCTATCATTATACGTAGTGATAGTAAAAATTATAAATAAAGGTGATTAATTGAAAATACTAATATGTTTTCTGTCAAAATATTTCATCTATGTAGATCAATGCAGTAACTTTCCTTTTAATGTTTGCACAAAAACTGCTGCCTTTTGAAGTAAGGGATAAAACAGAATAAAAGATGAAAAAGAAGGCTTACATGTTTTTATTGGAAAGCAAAATTCTTTGGGGTAATTTTTTAGTGAATATTTTCATTTTGCTCACAAATGTATTTTTACATGAAAAACTGTTTCACCCATCCATATTCAAATGTATGATATGAGTGTTGGCAGAGATATCATTTGATGCCATTCCAATTTTTCAAAAGCAGTCTTGGAGAGGGATACGTTGCTGTTCTATTGGTGTTCAGGAGCACCTACATTAGTGTTTATGACAGATGATTTACTGTTCTTGAAGCAAGTATGTGTGAAAATTATATTCTTTTAAAAACGAATAAGCCATAATTATCGATTTTTTAAATGTGTTTTGCAGCAAAAGACACCATCAGAATCATTCACTGGTCGAGAGAAGAGATCAAACTCACAGTCCTACATTGGACGACCTATTCAGCTTGACAAGATCTTACTTTCCAAGGTTAAAGTGCCTCACACATTTGTCATCCACTCTTACACACGCCCAACAGTTTGCCAGTATTGTAAGAAGCTTCTCAAAGGACTTTTTAGACAGGGTTTGCAGTGCAAAGGTAAGTGTGATAAATAGTGCCCTGAATGACACTTTACAACCTGAAATAAAATAGAATTTAATGAAATAGTTTTTCACAGGCTATATCTTCATTATCCATACTTGATGATTTACATAAAACCATAAGTCTATTTTAAGAATAATGTATGTTAAAATCATTTCTTTCTTGGTGCCTTGATTAGCAGTTCTTACTCATGTTAGCAATTTGCAGGAGTCTAATAGTAACCTTCCTAAAAGCTATATATATTAAAACTAGTAACTTAGCATTTAAATGGTTACTGTGTAATATTGCTCAAGATTTCTTCACTGAACTGTCTTGGTGTAGACTTACAAACTATTTACATTGGATTAACCTGGGATTCAAATTACAATTGTGGCTCTCCGGAAGCTGGCTGCATGACTATTTTTACCCAGGTCTACCTTTGAGGTAGTATATATCTTAATTTAGGGCTAAATTACCTTATATGTGGCACTAGGCAAGAACATTCACACAGGCAGTTATGGCAGAATAGCTGGTAAAAAGTATTCTTAATCTTCCTTGTCTCCTGTCCACAAACTCTTACACTTGAAATGAAGCAAGCACATGACTTTCAGTAACTCAGGGTTTTGAGGGTGAGACATAATGGAAATAAAAAAGGAGCTTATATGAGAATATAAAAAGATATTTCGCCATATATTCTTACTCATGGTGTCTTAAGCCTCAAGTATTTATACCTGAGCATAGCTTAGACTATTGGTTCACTACTGGTCATCTAGAATGTGTAAAAATACGAAGTGTTGTCTATGCTAAGATGTTAGCGGATATTGGCCAACAGGTCCTTAAAAACACCTTTGATTAAAATACATATAGCTTTCATAAAATTCTTCAGTGTATATACACTGTGTATAAGTTAACCAGTATATATTTATGAGTGCAGCTGCCTTAAACTAATACCCTGCAAAAATTCAAGATTGAGTTAATTTAACCCAGTAATGTGATTCTTATGTGATTTAACTAAAGCAAGTACTGAATAAAGGCCTCATTTGTTTAAGTTCACTTTGAATTTCAGTGACATTAACAAATATTAACCAGATTTAAAAAAATATTTACCTGGATTTGGCACTGCTTGCTTGCGTTTTGAATCAATCTAAAGTTAAATAATTATGAGTTATGGATGTAGACATCCTTAGGAGAGTCTATCTTTCCTGACCCTTTGCATTCCTAGCTGTGTTAATATATCACTGCTCTTAGCTGAAGCAAAGTATGTTCCGGAAGTCAAAAGAAAACAGTTTAAACGACATCTTAAAAAGTGCTATTTACAGAAATGCAAAGAGGGAAAGACAGAGTGAAGTAAACTACCTGGACAACAGAGAGAAAGAGTATTGAAGGAGTCCTGCACTAAATCCAACCTAAAACACCAAATTAAGAATATGTAGTGATACAAAGAACAAGTGTCGTCTTGTTTGTAATTGTTCTCTGGGTGTCTGCTGCTTCAGTTTTCAGTCCTCAATATTTGATGTGTAGTCAGGTTTTCAAGCTGTAGTGGATATTCTGCAGCCTGATCTGATTCTCTAACTGGAAAAACAAGGCTGGCCTTTTAGCCAAGCGCAGAGATCTCCAGATTGCTCCCCTAGATGATTCTAGCATTCCCAGCTCCTCCAGCTAAAGCCTCCACCCAGTTGCTGTAAGTAATGCTTTCCTTTCCCCTCGGGGAAGCTGCTGGTGTGTTTATCCTGCAAGTTCCACTGGCAAGTGGCCTGCAGCCAGGCCAATGCTCACTGGACACATCAAGTTGACTTTGTATTAGCAAAATGATAGGGCTTGACATTTATAGTCTGGATAGCGGGAAAAATACAATTATGCCACAGAAAAAAAGGAGAAAATAATTTTACTGCGTTACTTTTTCTTACCAGACTGTAGGTTCAATTGTCACAAACGCTGTGCTCCTAAAGTGCCAAATAACTGCCTGGGGGAAGTTGCCATTAATGGAGGTGAGTTGCTTTAACAATTATTTCTGTCATTGTTTAAGCCACCAGTTAAGTAAAAGAGAAATGTAATACTGCGATGTTGACAAAGATATGTTTTTCCATTGCTTGGGAGTGGCTTTTCCTCTGTGATATTTCTATTGTATATTGAAGATGAAGTGTGGGAGGAACTGCATTAATGGTTCATATATCATTTTCTCAGAACATGTGTCTTCAAAATACATAGCACTGAAAGACAGGCTCAGCTGTGCCACATAGGCAGAGCAGGTAGGTGATTTCAGCAAGAAAAAGGTCTGGGTGAATGTGGGCTTGTAGAATGCCAAAACAACCCCAAAAGCCACAGGCTTTAGATGTTGGCATTCACCTGTCAGATACAAACACAATACGGTTTTTTAATCTGGGAAGGGAAAAATTATTTGTTTTAGGACAATCTTCCTGAGATAAAATGTATACCTGGAAGAACTGGAAAAGCCCTCCAGGAAAAAATTCCACCCCTTCCTTTTGGCATGAAAGTAGTATCAGTTGCCAGAAATGAAAGCTTGAATATCTGCCGGTTTTCCCGTGCATGTGGTGTCGATTTTATGTCAAGTATGGGAATGTATGAGTAGGCTTGACAGAAGGTACTAGAGAAAAAAAGAGTTGTTGTAGACGAGTTGTTGATTGCCTTGAAAATGTCACTTTTATATGTGATAAGGGAATGAAAAATGTCGTAACTTGTTCAATAGCTAATGGATATGACAATATTAAGTTGTCAACCTGAACTGCTTATGACATTAATAAAGTATTAATCACAGCTTTATTAGATAGTCTTTTTAAAACTTAAAATCAATAATTACTTTATTAAACAGAGGTCAAGAATTTTGAAAATTAGGAATGTTAACTAATTATCTTTTTAGCAATGTAACTGTATTAGTTCAAAGATTTATGTTAATGTCACATTTTTTAAAAAGTCTTTACACCACTTATGCCTTACTTTACCATTAACTGTTGTACAATATATTTATTTCTTTAGGATTACAAGTACCGATATTTATGCAAGGAAGAATATGGCTTGATTCTCATTTCCAAGATCTAAAAATATGCTAGGATATATTAATTTAATTGATAGTGGTGTAGAGTTGTCCTTGTAGGAATCCTGAGTATGTCTGAGAAGCAAAAATCCTTTTTATGCAGTTACATTTTCTATCCCACCTCTACTTTTTGACATTGCAAATAGTTGTAAGCGTAAAGAACTGAAGAGTTGGAGAAAGTCATGAAGTCTGCCTATAAATTATAGGATGTGGCGTACTTCTTATGGCATTATTCTTAGGTTCAGACCGAGAGAGCAGTGCATAAGAGGCTTGATCAAAAGGAGAAAAATGTTAAGAGAAAAGAGCAAGACAATCATTATTTCTGGACAGCTGGACTAAAAGAACAAAATTTACATTTCTTTCTGAATCACTCCTTCCAGTTCCTTCTTTTCATCTCAGACAGCTGCAGTTCATCTTTTTGACACCCTGCCCCCTTTCCTCTCCTCCTTTCCCCCAAAAGTAACTTGCCATTTCTGCTGACTTGCCTCCTACACATGAATCTGATGCTGGGCTGGTGAGGAGTAATGGCTCGTCTGTGGGAAGAGCTGAGCGAGGAAAGCTTGTGCAAAGCCACTTGTGGTGAGAACACTGATTCCAGGCAGGATTCTAGAATGTGATAAGTTTCCTCTGGTGCAGCTCCCTAGACTCCAAGGCCCTTGAGGAGGCCTAGGCCCTTGGAACTCTCCCTCTTACAATTTATAGAATTTGGCTTTTTCCCAGTATCTAGTGAGTTTTCTACCACCAAATTATATCCCTAGTAGAACTTGTTACTGCTTGTCCTACACGAGTGATATAGGGCCCTTAGAATTAACATAGGCAGTTGCATCCGGCTATCCTATTTTTATTTTGACAGAAATTTAGTTCACAGTATTTTCCATGTTAATAAATAAAATACAATATCTGCCACCCTATCCATCTGCTCTGTGATACATCTTCCCCAAAATAGTAACTGCAGGCAGAACTGAAGCAACGACATCCCAAGTATGGTCTCATTAATAAACACATTAAACACTAAATGCGGGAGGTTATTTTTAGCTGGTTGTGGGTTTATTATAAATAACAATAAAAAACATGTTGTAGAAAAGAGAGACCTGCACAGTAAATGACATTCATGACTGGTAGGCTCCTTCTGCTAGAAAGCAAGTATAATTTGTCTCTGTCATACATCAATAACTTATATCCAAACATTTTACTCTACATGGAAACAAATCTTTCAGCTGTGCACTTCCAATTCTAGGCAAATGGCATCTATTCTAAGCTTTCTGCTGTCAGCCAGTTCAATGTGCTTTTTCGTCTGGGGCATTCTCCCCTCTGACTGGCAGGAACCTTCCACACAATTAGAGGCAAGTTTCTCAGTGAGAAAGAACATTAGGTGTCTTCCATGGGATTTTACCTTGCTTCAAATTGCTGCCCCAGGCTCCCTGCTTAGCTCCTGAGACAGGGCAAGTATCCTAGAAAAGTTAATGCTGTCTTTCCCATCTGACAGCATTGATGATATTGATGTGTCGGTCACAGCCTGTATAATGGCAGGTTGAGTTTAAACAAAAAAGTGTTTTGATTTTTTTTCATAATGCAAATCCTTAGCTTAATAGCTTTAAAACTCTCTCTTCCTTTTTGCTTTCCAGATAAATCTCTTCACAAGTAGAAATACAGTAAAAGTTATTCCTTTGATCTTGCTTGGGTATCTCTAATCCTGAGAATGGATTGTTCAACATTATTTAAATTTAAGCAATATATTATTAAATTTAACATTGGAAGTTATTGTTAATGCTATGCCAGAATCATAGTTTATGTCTAGAAGTTATTCTTATTTTACAAAAAGCAAAATTAATGCAGTATTTTCCTCATTCTCTGGGCTTATGAGCGGGAAGTTTAATCTAAGAGAATGGGAGGTAAATTTTATGTCTTCCATTCATCTCCATTTATTTTTTTTTTTGTAATTCCATTGCCAGACTAAGTGAAATCTTAATGTTTTTCTCTTTGCTATGTTACACTGGAGGTTTTGATGTTTATCTAATGTTTCCTTAATAAGGATAGAGAATCTTATCACAATATATTAGAGTTGTATTAGAGAACACTGGTGCAAAGGAAATAGCCTTTTTTTCCCCCCCAAAATATATTTTGCATTATGAGTCTTGAGAATTTTTTCAGTAAATCACATTTGTGTCATCATCATAATACAAAATTCCTAGTTTTGAAATTACTGATGTACTAGCATTGATTTGCAGCTGTAGCCTGCCAACAGCATCAAGCCTGTACACAACATCCAAGCTGTATAGAAAATCTGCCAGAAGATGTAAAAAATAAAGCCTATAGAGAGTTTGAATAGAAGTCCATGCATAAGAAATTCTGCCTTGACTTTGGCAGTTTTTAATAGAAAATTGTATTTCTGAAAATATTTGTTTGATGAGTTTCCAGCTTTCTGTAATGATTTTCCCAGTGGCCAGTGTAGGACTATGTTTTACCAGTATAAACTGAGTGGAGACAAACCAGAGAATAGAGTTCAGGAGAGAACATAAATTTTCCTTAAGCCCCAAATGTGGTAGGACTTAGTGATTATTGCATGTTTCCAGATAATAACTTCAGAAATAATGTTCCAGATCTCCTTAGTCCTGGGGCTGAGTCTGATGTGGTCATGGAAGAAGGGAGTGATGACAATGACAGTGAAAGAAACAGTGGTTTTATAGATGACATGGAAGAATCTATAGCTCATGATTCTGAGATATCAATGACGGGATGCCACAGTGACAATGGGGAAATGCAGGATCCTGATGCAGATCATGATGAGTCTAACAGGATGATCAGGTGAGCTGGGAAGCATAATTTCCATCTTCTTTTATGTTTCTTAGTATCATGACTCAGGCTCAAGTAGAAATCTACTTGGGCCCATTCCTCACTCCTTTTTGTTGCAGAGATGAGTAATGTGTAATGGTCCTGAAAAAGGAATGCAACTGCTTTTCTGAATATATGTGTTAGGATTTTAAGAGAAACTTAAATATTATTGTCAAGTTGAAATAGCACCCAAAAACTGATGTGTAAGTGATTGTCACAGATCTACTTTGTTATGAAAATCATGTTGTGAAACTTCTTTTTGCAAGTGAAAAATGGAGAACTTTTTTTTTCATTTTTCCCAAGCATTTTTCCCTCGTTAAGAAGTGCAATTTGGGTTTGAAGGAAAATAGTAGCATCATTTTTAATCCATTTTCGTTAAAAAATGAACAGTGAGAATGTTCAAGTTTGAATAAAATATCATATGGGAAAGGTTTCTTGCATCCACAGTGAAATCCTAGTTGAAAAATGTAAACAGCAAGTGAACAAGCATCAACAACAAAAAGCCAAAACCATATATCAGCATGATCATTTATCCTGACAGCTTTGTGACAGCAGTATTCAGTTTTCTTTAAAAAAAGAGGAGATCTTTGGAATAGCTACTTGTCTACCAGTTACTCTACTCACCTAGGATATGGCTGAGTGGTAGAGCTTTAAATCTGAGCCTTCAGAGTGTCTCTCCAAGAAGTTGCTGGCTATTCTGGTGTTATAATATCTTTAAAAATATATTTTAACAGTATTGGAATGTCGGTAATGTGAAATATGAACAGTTTTTCAATTCTCAGAATTTCACGGGCTAGGACAATTCTTTAGGGACTGGGACTACTCAGGAGTGACAATATACCGCAAAATGCGATGCAAGAAAATGGTCAAAGTGCTATTGCGCTGCAAATTGGGACAGCTTGTTTAATGGAAAAAAAATGCATAAGCAATTGCGTTATCTGATCTAGGCATATTGTTTGTAGTTTTTTTTTATACCTATAGCAAGAAGGAAAGTTTGAAAACCAGATGTAGTAATTTCAAGCAAATTACAAAAGTTTTTATGAGATTTTGTGAAGGACACTGTTAGCATTTTGATTTGAAAATGCCAGTTCTTAAAAAGTTGCTCACTTCCAGGTTGCACTGCTGTGAATGAGGGCTATCTGCAGACATTCACAGTCAAGAACAGATGTGGACATTTAAGATATTATGGTTCTCCTGCTGGTGGTTCTTGCCTTTCTTTGCTTTGGTTTTTGTACCAATAGCTTTGCCAGCAGAGCTGAATTCATGAGTCTCTCTGTGCTCTGCTTTCATGTCAAATGCAGCAAACTCAGTTTAAAGTTCTGCCAAAAATAACTACATGTGGAAGCAGATCATGAGTCCATATTTCATTACACAGAATGTGTTAACTCCAGTAGTAAGGGAAATGGAGAGGTGGGCTTGGTTGCTTGTTAAACTTCTCCAGCTAGATAGTCCACATTTTATACTGTCAAGTTCCCATGTCCTTCTAGGTTACTGTTTGTCAAATGAGTAGTGGAAATCTTCAGTGTGTGGACTCCAGAGTACGAGACACAGAATTTAGGTCCTTTACTTTGAGGATAAAATGTTTTTCCTTAAAGCTGTTTCACTGAGAGGTTCCAGTGGCCTCCCTGCCATACTCTGCAAATGCACACACACACATGCAGCTTTTACTACTCTGAAAACTGTATTTGAACTTCAAGAAAGATAACAGAATGGCCAGTAATCTGAGGACAATGTTTACTGTGGTTGTAAGAGATTCAAGATTGAGTACTATTCTGAATCATGCAGAGCTTGAGCTAAATCTCCCACATCCTACCTTAAGCACCTAGGCATTTGCTCATTTTATTCGCTCCTCTTTAGGGGTATTTGTGCATGTGTAAGGCTTTAGAAGGTGTCTGACATCCTCCAGCATTGATTTTTTTTTTCCTTTTTTCCTTTCCTTTTCAAAGATACTTGGAAAGACAAACAAAGTAGTGTCTAGTCCAGGTCTGTTAGTGAGTACAAGTTGAAACATGGCTATTGTGTACATACATATATATACACACACACATATATATACATATATATGCCTATATATATCTCTCTCTCGTTTTGAAAGAATTTTCTGTCCAACATTATGTTATCTTAAAAACTTTTACTGATTTATTTTTAAGCCCTTCAACCAGCAACAATATTCCATTAATGAGAGTGGTACAATCTGTGAAGCACACGAAAAGGAGAAGCAGCACAGTAATGAAGGAGGGCTGGATGGTTCACTATACAAGCAAGGACACACTGGTGAGAAATGTTAAGGAAGACCCGTCTATATATACCTCCTATATAATAGTACAGAATTCTAATAATACTAATATTTTCAAACCCTAATAATACTCAGATAAAGTCACTCCTATAAGGTGTTTATTTGCAGTATTTGTGCATCGTGAAGTTCTGACTCTTGATATAGTTGAGACCAA